GTATTGACTACTGTGTTTTTCGTACAGGATGCATTAAACATTCCAAAATAACTTTCAGAAGCAGAACAGCTGTGGTACTTATGACCTCCTTAACAAAGGGAAGCAGTTGTCCTTTGCCAGTTGTAGATATGTGGGATGAACAGTACTCCCTATGTAATGGTTACTGGGAGAAGCTAGTCTTGTGTTCCTCTGGTGAACCTATATACAATAGCAGAATCTATTTTGAATTATGATTTAACGTTTGGCTATAAATAAATTAGGAAAAATAAAGGCATGGATGATAAGATCAGGAAAGTGTCTAGAGGCCAGCAGGGCCACAGTTCTTCCCTGCGTAGAACTTTCCATCATTGTGTAACTTTATCTTATCTCTTTTCTAAAAGGCATATGGTTGTAAATGTTCTTACTTTAGTAGCAACATTTCATTCAGATAAATGCAAATATAACTACCATAAAACATATTTTGAAAAATGTGCCCTCAAAACTACGAATGGGGGAAGGGGCTATAAAGCCACATTCTTGTGGCATTAAAACCTATATCACATCATGTAAGAGAGGTTAATTTTCCAAGCAGCATGAAATTGTTTCTGAAGAAGATGATTTACAACAATGTGTTTGGTGTTGATTGAGAAGATGGGGGCAGGTAGTGAGCAGTGAGTGAGAAACAGTTTAGAATCATTGTTGAATAGCCAAAATGTACCACTACAGTTTACACAGTTGTGGGTTCACAGTTCAGACTAGAGAGAGGATATATGAATGTAGATGAGAATCTAAAATGGAGGTATTAACAAGCATAGAGTACATATGAAATAAATCATATTGCATTGAGGGTAGGAGTAAGTGCAAATGAAAGAAAAAAAATGTGGAGCTTATTATTTCTAGAAAGATTTTTTTGTCTCTTAGTATATAGTGTACCTAAGATAATAGATTCTTTAATTCTCCACATAGAAAAAAAAATGTTTCTTTACCTTCCCCCTCTAATCATAATGTAAAAAAGTCAGAGCTATCTTAAAGTCTTCTCAAACTTTCAATGCTTCACAATAATGAGAAACCATATGCTGAAGAAGAAATATTAATAGAAAATGCTGTCTTTCAGATGCTCACTGAATCAATTGAAGGCAGTTGACACGTCTTTAGTAAGCTGTGTATGAATCTTAGCTCATTAACCACTCCTGTATTATGTATGCTGATTCTAATTCCTAATATGACACATCAATAAACCAGATCTGAAAAGGTGTCATTTTGATTTTAATGTATCCAATTGTATTTTTAGATGTTCCCCCACTTAGAAGTGTTTGTGTTATTTCCTGATTTTACAAGCTATGGAAGAGTGGGTGTGGTATTGATTTGAATGGGAAAACACTGCTTTCCTATAACCTTTCAAAAGATTTTGTTCTGATTAGATTTTAAGAAAAATAAATTGTTTCATCTTAACAATATTTCCACTCTTTCTAAGCCATTGCAGTTTCCCCTCTAGAACAACAGCATAGTTACCCACAAATATGCATGTATGACTCTCCAATTGTCTGATTGCTCAAGTATGTGTGCAAATAGAAAAAGGAAAATATGCCTATAAAATATTTTTATGTAGAATGTTTCTTATAGGCAGACTGAGAAGCCACCATATATTTTATAAAGGTTCTGTCGCATAACATCTCACCAATCAGATCATCAATTTCTCAGTCCATCTCCAAGTATTTAGGGACTTGTGTAATGGCAAGCTATCTTAGCAATTGTATTTTCATGAACTGATACCAACTCAGTTCAAGAATTAGCAACTGCATTTTGAATGCTCCCTAAACCAAGTAGTATGCTAAGTGCTAGAAACAAAAGGTGAATTAAACTCAGCATGAACTTCAAAAAAAGGTATGGAGGGGGTGAACACTTACAGAGAATTTAGTTTGACCAGTCACTGTGCTATGTACATTACGTACTATCTTGTGAATTCCATAAAACTTCCCTTTTAGATGTTATTCAAGGAGAATAAGAAAGATGTCTAAGACCACATAGCTAATAAAAAGCTGTTACAGAATTTAAACTGAGGTCAATCTATTCCAATCATTGCTCATGTCTTTCATTCATTTACTAATTCATGTTTTGTTCTTTCAATCTACTGTCTACCAGAATAAAAGCAACTCAGCTTTATAGGAAGATTCCCTCTTTAATGGGGGAAATGGATAGGAATCCAAGTAATGGAAATACCATGTGAAGTATTGCATAAGAAAAATGTTCTAAAAGCAAAGGAACACAGCAAAGGGAGAGCTAACTTTGTTCAGGAAAGCTCACAATTCTTTTACCTGGTGGCTTAACAGACTTGATGATGTTTTAATTCCTGCTTGAGCACCATGGTTGTGACCTTGAAATTCAATTATTCCAATTAAGCAATGCTCAACCTTTTTTTAAACTCACTCTGACTGGATCATATGTTCCCCAAAACTAAGGTTTGCTGAATGTAGCCATTAAGATCACTCCCCACTTACTGTCTGTCAAGTTTAATTTAGGGCTGCTACTTCTGCAGCCCTGAATGTCAACCTGTCCCTTTTCTGGAGTTTTTGAAATTGACCTGATTATAGTCAGAAATTTCAGTAAAACTAAAAAGGTCTCCTCTTCTCCCCTCCTTTCTTCTTTCTACTGTTCCCAATAACATCTTCATTGCTTAAACCAAATGTTTCACCAGATCCTCAAGTAAAATGCATTTCTAGAATCATGCCAAACTTCAAAAAGTATCTACGTCTTGAAAAAAAAAAATACACCTATACACACACATCAGAGGGTTAAATACAAAGTATCTAACACTACTAATAGCTCTGTTCTGCGTCACTATATCAGCTTCACTCTCATCTTTTAAAAAATATCTATATTGACTTTTTAAATAGCTTTTTCTGATTTTAAGGTATCCCATAGGCCCCAAGTAGTCCTGCAAAGTATCACATTTTCTTACCATCATTAAATAACCAGGGGGCTCACTACGTTTTGGCAGAAAAGATTACATCTGGTGTGGGCTATGATGTTGCAGCATCTTTTTTTTTCTTTTTCTTCCCCTTTGTTTCTTTCATTTGCAGTTGTCCAAGCCATATTATGTTGGAACTCTTCTAAGAATAACTGCAATTTTGAAAGCTTTGACTGTGGGAGGCATTATTTATAGACCCTTGTGGTTTTAGGAGGAAAAAGAAAAATCTTCCAGGCAGAGTTCTACTAGGAAGACTGCCCTCACCCCACTTCAGCCAAATACCATCTTCAGCAGGACATTTTCCTACAATTCCTTACAAAAAGTTTCTTTTGAAACATCTTGCTAAGAAAACTGGCAATTTCTAAACTAATTCTTTCTTACCCTAGTAAATAAAATTTATATACCAACTAACAGAAGATTAGAAATTGGGCTATTGAAGTACATCTTATTAGGAACCATGTTTACTCTTAGTATTCGAGAACCATCTGCAAAGGTTTTTGTACACAAAATCACAGAATCCCAGGTCTCACTGCCCCACAGTGAGGAATGCTCCTTCTAGCAGTGTGCATTCTTCATAGTCTCCATTCTCAAGGTCATTTCCTGGTATACCAATTCCATATACATTCTCAGAAGCATAAAGAAGAAAAGTTTAAAAGTTTAAATAATTAAATCAGCTCTGGACACTCCTCCTCAGGAGTCCCACATAATGCTTTAACTCAACTTTCATTGGCCAGACTTGGTCACATGGCCACACCAGTTGCCAAAAAGTCTGGGAAATTAGCCCTTTTGCTGATATGTTGCCATCCTCTCCACAATGGGATTGTCATGCAAAGGGAGATAAGAGTGGATATTGGGTGGGGGATTAACTTACATATATTTCCATATATATCTCTTCCAGCAGTGATCTCTTTAGAATTATAAGGAGCTCTGTGTTAGAAGTTAAAGATAAAATATACATCAGAAAGATAACAAATCAATGTTCTAAAGTGTTTAAGTGCAATAAATAATTATACCTCAAAATGGTAAGGTCCTGACTAAGACCATGGCAAGACAAAGTTCTTAGGGTGCTAAGTAAATAACTTCTTAATTTTTCTTCCATGCAAAAGGAACAAAATGAAGAAAAACAATACATGTGGTATGCAGTTTTGAACAACTTCCTATTTTTAAAAATGCATAAGACCAATTATTATGCTTTTTGGAGTTTTGTATTTTGCAACCTCCTTATTTTGTAGCAAACCCAAAATGCATCAGGAGAAAAGATAGCATAGAAGTAATTTTTTTAAAAAAATTCTTTGTTTTATATGTCCTTATGTATTAGCTTCCCACTGCTGGTATGCCAATAGCACAAACTCTGTGGCTTAAAAGAGTACAAACTTATTATCTTACATTCCTGGAGACTAGACATCTGAAATCAGTTTCACAGGGAAAAACTCAAGATGGTGGCAGGAATGCATTCTTCTGGAGGCTCTGTTTCCTTGCCTTTTCCAGCATTTAGAGGCTGTTGTCCCTCATTAGCCCAGGCTCCCATCACATAGCCCTTCTCCTTTGATTCCACTGTCATATCACCTTCTCTCTTTGAGTCCCATCCTCTTTCTTCCCTTTGATAAGAACCTTTTAGATTACACTGGACCCACTATAATAATCCAGAAAAGTCTTCCCATCTCAATCCCTAACTTGATCACATCTGCAAAGTCTTTTTTTCCTGGGTGAAGTAACATAGCCACAGGTTCCAGGGATTAAATTGTGTACACATATGGATGTCACCATTTGTCCTTCTACACCTTATAAAATAGGAAATTGAAGAAAACAATTCAATACTTGATTTAAGGAAGGTTGTGTCAAAGTCACAGTGTCGCTGCTTTCTTACCACCATGGTCTAATTCATATAGTCAAAATAAACTCCAAAACAACTTGGTGAAGAACACACTTTCCCTTTGGTTACTGATAGTACTTTAAGTTGTTAAGTCTTAGTTAAAATTTTCCTCAGTAAATTCTCTCATGTACCTATGAAATCGTTTCTAACCTTCTTTTTACTTATTTATTTGTTTTTTAGAAAAGCCAGACAATAACACAAGAATTGAAACTATAAAGTCTCTTGTACAAAAACTCCCTCCACCAAATCGTGACACCATGAAAGCCCTCTTTGGACATCTAACTAAGTAAGTTGTAAGGGTTTCTGGGTATGTTGAATTATAATCATTATGAAATAAGCAACACTTAGCTTTAAATTTCTAAGACAAGATTTTTCGATACTTCCTTCTCATATTTTCCCCTCTAGCTGACCTAAGACTTCCTGTAAAAACTGAAAAATGTACTAGAGATAGGAAGGAGAACTTACAAAAGGAGCTTCTGAAAAAATTTATTTTTCCTTTGGACTTTTCAACAAGTAGGTAGATGTTTGCTGACTGTCAGAACCATTGCCAAGTCCCTGAGATAAGCCATCTTTGACTTTGTTATCTAATGTCATGGGAAGAGCATGAAATGATTCAGACATACATTCAAAACCCATCATACACCAAGTGCTATGACCACAAATAAGTTAAACTCTCTGAAATCCACTGTCCTCATCTGTAAAATGTAGGTTCCAATGAATAAGGTACTATTCATGTAAACAGTAAGGAGGAGAGAATTCCAGGTGGAGAAAAGCAAATAATAAGACCCTTAGGTCCCCAAAAGCTGGATGCATTTGAAAAGCACAAAGCAGGACTAGACAGCCAGCACCTGGTAAGCAACAGAGGTGGGGGACAGGAGCTGAAGTTCTAAACATTATACAGCATCAGGTCACAGGTCTCATTGGTCACATGTGGACCAATGAAAGATCTGGCTTCTGTTCTAAAAACAAGGAAGAACGACTGGAGAGTGCTAAATTCAAGGAGTATAAAAGATCCCTCAAACAGCTGAGTGGAAAATGGATTGCAAATGTGAAAGCAGGGAGATCTATTAACAGGCAGCCATCATAGACCGTAGGAGACAGGGATGCCTTGAATAAAGCCCTCAGAAAGATATGAGTAAAGAGATTTTGGAGGTGGGTCAAGATGGGTTTGCTGTTGTTTGGGGGTAAGGAAAAGAGAAATCAGGTGGGTTTCTGCTTTGGCAAGTGAAGAAATGATAATGATACATACAGAGATGGGTAAACTGGGGGAGGAACAGGAAGAGTAGGTTTGAGTGGTCTATTTTGTACAAGTTAAGTCTGAAATGACTGTTACTCATTTGCCTTCTGTTAACACCTTCTTCAGATAAGGCACAGTGCAATGCAAGTTATGAGATTTTAGCTTTCACTGTATATACATAGTAATTGTGAAGCATTTTTCACAGAATAGTGATCCAAAATAGCAGTTTTGCTTTTGTAAGATTAAATCTCCTGAATCACCTCAATTATCCATTCCTTAGGATGATGAGTCATTCCTACACATTGTTCAACTAATGCATTACATGATTTTTAATTGTGAATGTAATACATGCAACTGCACACACAAAAAAATTAAGCAACAGCAATGCATACACATTAAAAAGTGAAATTTGCCTACCAGTCATTCTAAGCCTGCTGAGCAGAAGTAACTAACACTTTTTTTATGCATCCTTCCAGACCTGTTTCAAAGCACATGCAACCATATGTGTGTGTGGTTGCTTCTGGTGTTAAAGTACATCATACTGCACATAAGGTTCTGCAATTATTTTGCAAATCATGGACAACCTTCCATTTCATTAAATAGACTCTTCTTATTCATTTTAATGATGGCATAGTATTCCAATGTATGGGTAGTCCATAACTTGCCAAACCAGTTCTTGCATTAGGGAACAGGTTTTAAACACATGCATCATATTATTCTCTTATTTTACTCTCAGAGGGGAACATTATCTCAAAGTTTAAAACCTCCTTATTATTGTTACCCTTGTTATCCCTTCTTACGCCTCCACATGCTGGCTACAGTGGGAAACTCAGTGAGTTTCAGTGAAAGGATCTTGGGTTTCAAAGAAATAGAAAGAGAATGAGAGACCTAGACTCAAAGCCTTGTTCTGTACTTTACTCCTGTTATGATCTCAGGCAAGTAAAATCAGATTAAATAATATCAACCATATCTTGTGGTTATGAGAATTAAATGAGATAATGCATATAAAATGCCTGGCACAAGGTAAGCATTCTTCAGATGTTAATTCTTTTTCCCTCAGGATTTTTACACATCATGAAAAGGGTTTCAAGTTACAAGTAAATACTGGAGTGCTTATCTCAGTAACTCTAACTGGACCAAGTCATAAAACAAATGGAAAAGTGTACTCTTTAATGCTATGCAATACCTAGTCTTAGAGTTCTTGAGAAATATCCATTACTCAGTCTCAATCACTCCTTTTTTTTTTCAACTCAAAGAACAGCTATAAAATGAAGAAATTAAGAGTCAGCTAAATGTTCCTTTAGGGGAGAAAAAAAAAAAAAAAAAAACCTCACAGAGATGAGGATCTATTTAGTAAAAAACCTTGAAAAGATGAGACTCCTCCATGTCATGCCACACAGTCCCAGTAATAACAGTTAAAGCTTGTTTGTTATATCTAAATGAATTTCCTAACTTTTGTAGAAATTTCATCTATTTCAATAGAGACAAAAATAGATATTTTAAACTAAGATTTAATATCAGATTATTATATCATTTCAAAGCATTCTAATTTTAATATTTTTTATTTTACATGGGGGAAAAATGTGTTATTTTCCAGCCACCAACCTTTCTTGGGTGGTGTGACCATATTCCACCCTGCACTGATTTATATAAACTGGGTTTAATTATGCACAAGTATGTGCACACGATTCTATCTTGTTAAGCATTTTTTGCTAAGTTTTTGATGAACAGCCAATCGTGGCATGTCATCAAAGCTTGAGAAGACTAAATAAGAAGATTGTTTAACTAGAATTTAAATATATTCATGTTTGAAAGAATCATTAGAATGTTTTCCTTAGTCTTGATGCATTTGGTAGTTCTTCAGAAAATCTCCCATCAACACTTGTATGTAGTGTTTATTCCAAATTGTTGCAAACATATATATTTTGAAGTTTGTTTAGTGAGGGTCAGGGAATGTAATGAAGTGCCAAAAATTCCACTTGACCTACGTACTCTACAGTCAACAGAACAGAGTTCCATTTTTGCGGAGCTCTGAGTTAAATGTTCTCCCCAAAGCAGAGCAGCTACTGCCTGGGAAAGATTAATATGGCTCAGTTAGACTGGGAGACAGATGTAAATCTTATCCACCAAAGCCAGAATATTTAAAGAGCCGTGATTATATTAAGTGTAGAATTGTAAAATGGCTGCTCAGACCCAATAGTGCCAAAGTCCAGAGTTCCCATTTTTTAATGGCACTCAAGTCAAGTCTTCTACTGTTGTACCTTGACACTAGGAATTCAGAATAAGCTCTCATCTCCAAATGTCACCAGTTTGAAATCTTTATTAATGGTGACTTTCACAAATTGACATTACAGTTCTAGGCCCTGGAAATGTCTGTGGTGACTTCTGAATCATCAAATATATGGCAATTTTGATCTTTATAAAATACATCACATGCATTTTCCTACTTCATTGGGAAGGTTGTAGAGAGAAGATAAACTAATGAAAGGAGAGCATAGAACAATGGTTGACTTGCTAATGGGTTGGAGGCTGTGAGCCAGTTAAAGGAATCAAGTGAGAAACAGGGAATCACTTAGTAAAACTTGGTGCACTAGACAATTGCATGCTGTACTTACTGTTTATGAAAAAGTTATCTAATAATACTTTAGACTGAAAGAAATAGGAGGAAAGAAACTCAAAGAAGTCCCATAGAAGTTTTAGTTAAATCAAGTCATAGAAATCAAATGGAAAGAAATGGTCCCAATCTTGAGATTTTTCCAAAGTAAAGAACACATAATTTTTCTTTCTCTCACTTCTGTATCCCCAATATCCTGTTACTTATGGAGATAAGCCTAAAGTTTCAATGCTGGATAATTGTTAAAATAGTCCCCAGATGGTAATTTAAAAAATAAAGAGATATTGTTTAGGAAGTGCTCCTATTCTTAGTTTGCAAGTGTAAACAAAGGAAAAAAGATTATCAGATTATAGAAAATTAATAAGATAGGTGAATCTATTTTGACAAGTGTGTATTGGATCAAATCTTCTATGTACTGGTGGAATCTATCAGCAAGCATACTAGGAAAGTAATCTAGGTAATGTATGTGATTTGAACCAGTGATCTTCATCTCTCTATTTTATACTAAGTAACAGAGGAGGAAAGTGTTTGCAGAGAAATTATTATGACAATTTTGTTGACTGGTAGAAACTTGGGAATAATGTAAGTGTTCAGTGACAGGGGAAGGGTTATATAGAACATGATACACCATATTGGTTTAGTGACATGTAATTCATGGCTTTTTAATTGAATGTGGAAAAACACATATATTAAGATGAATAAAATCATGAATACAATATTTTATCTACTCAGTAAAAATATAAATATGTAGAAAAAACTGTGCATATGGAAAAGGCTGTGAAAATATTTGCTGAAATGTTACCATTTCTTTCTTTGAGTCTTTGAATTATGCTATTTATTTTCATGTGTTTCATTTTTTTCCTCTATCAACAGCATAGAAGGAGACATTGAGGTTAAGGAAGCAAGGAAAACAGGCTTTGGAGTTAGGCAGGCCTGAATGTGAGCCTTGGCTCTGCCATTTCCTAGAAGTATAAGCTTGGCCAGGTCATGCAAAGCTAAGCTTCCATATTCTCTCTTGTGAAATGGAGATCATAAAAGAACCCATTCCCATGGTGAGGAGTAGGTGAATAATGCTTTCAAAGGTCTTGCACAGTACCTACCACATGTCAGTACTAAATAAGCACAATACATCCACATCTCTTATTCTTATCATAAGAGAAGTATAAAATATTTTTAATGAAACAAATATAAGAAGAATTGCTGAGGAAGTGAAATCACTATCAAATTTACTATGTTCCAAAAAGTCTTTCCCCTACCTCCAAAACTTTTTCCAGAACCTGAGTTTCCTCACTAGCCTGACTCAGCCATTTTCCAGAGTCTCATCCAGGCTGTTTTCATATGTCCAACAAGCCACAAGACACCCTGGTCATCATGCCCAACCCAAACTCTGCTCTGTCATTGAGTCCCTATCAATTGGGCTAGCCCCTTATCCCCT